TTACAACCATAAAATCAAAATGTATTATTCATTTGCATTCACTCACAGTCTTCCACATAATTTATGTTTTTCCTCGCTAAAGGCCTCGACTGTCATTATTATAAAGCACCAAGATCAAAGACTTTAATAAATGTCCTTGCATATTAGCGTTTGCATTAACTAATTTACCGTCTCATAAAAAGCATTAAATGGAACTTTCACAACAACAATTCAGTCAAAAAGCTTTAGGTCACAGTCAGATGCTAATTAATTGTCTTAGGGAGGTCGATATTTGTCACTCCATGTGTGGGAAATCAGAACATTTTTTTTGCAGTTGTCTACCTTGGCCTAAAATAACTTAATATCAAAATCATCGGGAAATGAAAAAAAAAGTAGTAGTTTCTTAGGCGGGCTGTGCGAGTCATCGTGCCTGCCTGACCAGCTACACCGGCGTTCATATATGTGTGACAAATTTATCGAGTCAGATCAACAAAGTTTTTTGGTATTATTATATAAAAGGTGTGGTTGGCAAGACGACATAGATCTATTAAAGATAAATAATTTAGATAGAAGTATACTGCGATTTTGCTAAAGCTAGACCCCCCCCCCCTCCCCTTTAACCTTTAATCTTATGGTGATGATGACAACTGGTAAAAGACTTACAAATTTACCTTACAATTAAAGGTCAAACTTAGGCTACACAACAATCAACTGAAGTTTCTAGCAGTCAATAACTTAAGGAACCGGCGGGGTTCCGAACTGAAAATAGTCTACAAATCATTTCAAATGGGAGGACAGTCAGCAGATTAAATATTGATCAACGCACTTACCTTGGTTCGTGAACACGAAACGTGAATTTGTTATTTCGCTGAATAGTCAAAGAGCAAACAACAGATCTCCTTGTGACCTATCCCACTAGATTTTCAGGTCTAGATCTAGACTACCAGAACCAGAAACTATAATACTCCCTGTCAACTTGTCAGTTTAATTGTCAAGCACAATCTCAACGTCAACACTCAGGCCAGGTCGCACCCCCAGACTTTGACCCATGAACTCATGAACCCTATTTTCATTTGTCATTGAGAACGTGGCCTTGACCCTGAGAAATCGAAAGTAGGTTTCCGGAAAACTTGTTTTCACTTCGTTTATTTTGTTAGTGATTTTGTTTTCAATTTTCAATTTCTTTTTTCCTGAACAAAAAAGACTGCAAACTAGACCCAAAAAATGCCCAGTGCATTCGAATGGGGAGCGCTGTTTTCAGAAAATAATGTATGTTGGAACAAAAACAAATGGTGCAAAATACAAACCAGTAGAAGAGATCCACAGAGAGCTAATTTAGTCGCTGTAGTGTAACTTCTGAAACTCTAGTATGGAGGCTTGACTTGAGAATAATACACCGTGTATATATTTTCCATCATCAACAGAAGGAAACTCTAAATTGATTGCCTGTGTCAAAACATGAATTTGTTGTAGGCTATGGCCTACGAAGAGAAGAAAATATCTATTTACACACAACAATCCTTGCTTACATTAACCCATATAACATTAGTGTCACAGTTTGTTTTGCCACAATATTTTTATGTCGTGTAGTGGTTCATAGTAATATACATTCAATAATATATAATAATAGTATTACGTGTATTATTTTTTTCATTTCAAGTCGCGCGCGGAAATCAGCCACAAATCGTATACAAGGGAAACAACCGAGTATAAACTAATGTATTTTTACATTAACTGGATTATTTTTCTTGGACGCAGTTGCTCGCAGTTCTATTGGGTGCCCATTGCGGGATCGGGTCTGGAAGGGGCGGTTTCCTGATCAGATTGAGGGCGCAAAGCGGCTATCGTAGCACAAGTCGATTGCACCCGACTCTTCGCCTTAAAAACAAACGCGTTCGTTTTAATACGGGGTGCCCACTACGGCTGGATCGGGCCGATCCCCCGACTCGATCGAATG